GATGGATGGATGGATGGATGGTTTTATAGACAGAGCTAAAATTTTCTGATTTTGCAAATAAGTGACCTTTCGGGTGTGTCCTTCAATCACATGCCCCCTAGGCTGCTTCATTTGTAGTATTTATAGACCAGAACTTTGGCTCAAGCAACTTTAAGTTCAGATGACCTTAATGCCAAATTCCTATTCTGAATTTACGCATTTTACTAAATAGAAATACTATACAGAAATGATGATTTAAAAGATCTTCCTTCTTAGGAACAAAGTAGGATTATATATCTGTTGCAAACGAAAACGAATTTTTATTTCATAGTGATATATGCAATATACATAAAAAGAGGGTTAGAATTTCTTAAAATGACAGCACAGAAAGCCACATGCAGGCTGTGAGTTCAGTCTTACAATTTACAGCTATTCCACCCTATAGAGAGGTTGCCTCACGATTCATGCTATTCTGGGCCTTATCTGGGAGAGATGTTTTAATACAAATGTATCCCTTTACAGACACTCATTTCCATTGGACAGTGACATTGTCATTATAAGCACTAGTGTGCGTCTCTGAGCCTCAGATCCTATTAGTGACAGTGTTTCACCGCCCCCCCGAGAACACGGAGCGTTCCCTTTAATGTGACACGCGTGGCTCCCGGCCCTGTGAAGCTCTGTGACATCATCATGTTAATCTGTACTATTCAGCTGTACATTCATCACCTCCCAGCTCAGACGCATTTCCTACAATGAAGCCCCTGCTGACTTACTGTGGAGGGGCTGATTCTAAGGGAAACGGCCTCCTTTAACTTCCCCTTCTGGTCAACATAAAACAAGCAGCTTAGGCGTAGAATAATTAAGTTTAATCAGGAATACGGTGTATTAGTACTTGATTAACTGGAAGTTGAACTGGAGCTCGGGGTTCCCAGTATGAACCTGTTTGTATTTTGTATGCTGCTCCGCAGGGACACTTCTCAGCCCTATGCCACTCCGTCTGCTGGCTGAGGGAGGGGGGCTTAGTCTGAATGAAGGGCTAATGGAGGCGCTTCTGGAATGAAATCAGCGACTGCAGGCACTCGCAGAGATGAACGACTGATATGCAAATGCATTATTAAGTTGTCATTACCCTGCCCCCCGCCCCTGCCCCCCGCTGCCGCCACCCACACACACACAGAGTTTAGGAAAATGTGTTTTCTAAAAAAACCTTCCTGACAAATTGACAGATATGGCCCATGGGCCTGAGGTTGCAGAGACCTTGGCCTGAGTGATGCATGTCCTGCCCTGATCACTGGCCTCCATCATGTCCTGCCCTGATCACTGGCCTCCATCATGTCCTGCCCTGATCACTGGCCTCCATCATGTTCTGACCTCCATCCGTTACTGGAGGCAGGCTCGCATTTAGGAAAGCGACTGATAAATTTTGCTCTGACACGTCATTTTTTTTTTGCTTCTCTGCTAAAACTAAAAATGTCTTACAGTTTGATTTTTTGGCCTTTGTTTTTCCCAGCTTCGGTGGCACTCGGTCACCGATCCCACGCAGGCCCTATCCATTACCTTGCCTATCCATAACCACGCTTGGCTCGGCCCAGTGACGGGTGGGGAAATGAACCAGGCCGGTCTGGCAGATTGTTTGACTTTCAGGTCAACACGACACCTTACGGCTGGTGACTGGCCCTGAACCCCGTACAAGAAGGCAGAGAAGAAACGTGAGACGTCGACCTGCCGCAGAGTTACTGGCTCTGGGATGCTTCGTTTAATAGAAAGGAAAAATGAAACTGAAAGCAATTTTAATAAATACGCAGAATCACACACCATGCCATTACCAACATTTCTTATCCTCTGCATTTAATCACTGTTCAGTTACACATAAAGATTTAGCTGCACTTTTTGAATATTATGTTACGATTTTCTCGGAAAGCTACCGATTTTGTGCTTGATTGCCCCCAGTAAAGCCTGTGACCTTACAGAATGGGCCATCTGCATCAATCTGTTATGCTGCCATTGGCTCCCCTTAGGCTGCTCTCCGTTTGAGCGGGGAGGGGGGGTCGGGGGGGGGGTTTGCAGGAGAGTCAGGTGATCCTGATTGTTGGGGTTAATGAAGTGAACATGCCCCTTGTTCCCTGTGTGTATTTCATCTGGGGGTGTTTTTTGTCTCTCCCCACATCCCAGACCACATAATGGCCACAAACTAGCCCTCCTTTCCCTTTTCCCAGGCAAAACGTACAGATCATTTCACTGCCAAGTCATTATTCCATATTAGGATTCTTGCTTTGGATTTCCTGCCTCATACCTGATCCCGCTCAGCCCTTCAACCGGGAAGATCCATGACAAACAGCCCGACGTTGCATCACGCCGACCCCCCCAGCGACACTCGCGCAGTGTCTTTCCCATTAACAGCCTCGCATCCCCAGGGCAGGTCGGAGTTGTTTCTTTAAAATCGATAGAAACCTTCCCTGCTGTAAATGGGAAAAGCAAGGAAGTGTGACGTCCAAAAGCCGCACGCAGCACGTCTCTGTGACCACCGGCTCCCCGCGGAGGCTGTGTGACATCTCGGTGGTTCTGGCCGGTCACGGTCCCCTTACCACACACAGGGAACCTGAAATTCAGCTACTCCTGAGGTCCAAGCTGAGTGCCATTTCAGAGATCGGAATGTAGATGCTACCTTATATTACAGAATATGAATATGAAACATATTTGAATATGAAACAACATTGTTTCCTTTCTGAGTGATAATAACTGACGTTTATCACTTAACACGAGTCAAAGTACAGAATGCGTGGGAATTTGTATTGCTTATAATTATGAATAATCTCTCATGAATGAAAATCCTGATTGGTTTCCCTACAGATAAACACAGCATAGGAAACAAAGCATAAAATCTCTTTAACGTTTCAACACAAGCGCAAAACAAATGAGCAGCTCTAACCTGACTCCTTAGTATCTAACCTGACTCCTTAGTATACATTTTGCGATTAAACAAAAGATTTCCTGGGTGAAAAATGCTTGGTGCCACTTGGTTTATATTCATTTGGTGGAGGGTTAGCTGTGGAGTTCAGTTATAACAAACTGATATTAAATAAAGGTCTCCTTGCCAAATTGTCAGCAAGACTCCAAACACTAATAACTGGAAGACACTTAAAACTGGAGCCCATAAAGAACACAGTGACTGGGGTCCTGGCTGCACATTTCCGCCTTTATTAACATGCAACTAAATCGCATCACCGCAGTAACATTTCCCACTTCTGTGATAGATTTGTGTGTTGAGCACAAACACAGAATACCAAGATGCCTGATTTGCCTGATGTAATGTTTGTTAAAGAGACTAATAATCTTGCACTTGAATAGCTACAATTTAATGAACCTTCCCTTGCTGTAGATGCTTCAGTACAATTTAATAGATAAACTGGATATAAATGTCACTCTATATGAGACTTTTCCAAAAAGCAAACTGATAAGCCTGAGATGAAAACCCGTTAAAGACGAATCACATGACGCAATCAAGCTTGTCACCCGCGGTCCTCTGGTATATGGCTTAGGCTTCGGCGTTTAAGGGTGGGGGGGGGGCGGGGTGGGGTGAGAGAGTGCAGGATGGTGGTGCCCCATACAGCTGCAGGATGCAGTCTGGCCCAGTAGAGGGCGCTACATGAGTGGGAGGGATGGGTTCTGCATACAAAACCAAGTGGGCCAGCAGCTGCCTTAAAGAAAGCTAGGGGGCGCTCTACACTGTGCCCTCTACGCTCCCGTCACCCCCCCGTCACCCATCAAACCTGTACCTGCGCACATGTGCATTAGCATATACAGGAATACATTACATGTCATGCAGTGTTTCCCCTACCATTATATCAGGGGGCGCCCCGCCCCCCCAACGGCACCTCCCGCCCCCCCTTGAAGGTCAAGTTAGTTTTATTTTCTATATAGTGCCAGATCATAACAGAGGTCATTTAAGGTAACCTTTCCTATAGAACAGGTCTATACATTGTCCTTTTATTAAACAAACTAAATAGCCTTGTGTTATTTATCTTATTTACACAACAGCTTGTGATTTTTGTCTCTACACGGTCACACGTTTACAATTCTCCTCCGCTCTCTGTAACGCGCGTGGCGGAGTTCCGCCCCGATGTGCGTGCACAGACACGTGCACCACTAGCAGACAGAGGGCGTGCGTCGATCACCCGGTCAGCAGTGTGAACTGTGACAGGGACTTTTCATGAACCATGAACAGGGTAATAAACACGTTTCACAATGGGATTTTCTGCTTTAAACTATCACTATTTTAAGCTATCAGCTATCACTTTTAAAGCCAAACAGTTAATGTATTTGCAGGTCAAGACAAACATCCGCAACAGGCTGCAAGGAGACCATCCAGCAGCCTGCATGCGGATCTCGATACATGGGCCAGACGTTTCTCACTTCCCATATCAAGAGGCTCTAGAAATGTTCTTCCAGAAGCCCAGAAAGATACACCGCAGTGAGAAAAGCTGCACACTTTGTGGATAATTGTCATAAAAATAACTGTTTTATGTTTAGTTCAGTTGTTATATTGACTGCTGTCATTAAAAGAAACACATGAACACCATGAATCCTGTCGGTGTCCGTTTGCCCCCCCCCCCCCCAACCTACGGGAAACACTGTCATGCATATTGACATTTATCTATTCGCCCATCCATCCCTCCATCCATCCCTCCATCCATCCC